GCAAAACAACAAAAAAATGTAGAAACGTTTCGTCTCTCATCCGAGAGACTTCCTCAGTCTGAGGTGCTGTATTCAGCTCAGTCTCTTAAATAGCACCTTCTCAGAGTGGATCAACCAGTTTTGCTGCTGACAACCAAAACCAGCTGATCACATGCTCAAGAAGGACCATCAGCCTAACAATGGATCATTAACACACTGATGGCTGTTTGCTATTCACAGAGGGCTGAGTGATACTAGCAATCACAGCATTGTAAGAGGGGGACAATTGAACATGTAGGCCTCCACCCCTGTTTAACGATGGACGATTTCTTTTTACAAAGATGGCCTCCTTTACTCCTCTCTCAAACCATTGTTCCTCTCTATCCAGGATGTGAACATCTTCATCCTTGAAAGAGTGACCGCTGGCCTGGAGATGAGTGTAGACCACAGAGTCCTGGCCTGATGATGTTGATCTTCGGTGCTGGGCCATCCTTTTGGCCAGTGGCTGTTTTGTTTCCCCAATGTAAGACTGATCACAGCCCTCCTGACACTGAACAGCATACACAACATTACTCTGTTTGTGGCGGGGGACTGGATCTTTGGGATGAACCAGTCTTTGCCGTAATGTATTTTGGGGTTTAAAAGCCACTGGGATGTTATGTTTAGAAAATAAACGTCTCAGTTTCTCTGATACTCCCTCAACATATGGAATGACCACTGGTCTGGGTCTGGGTTCCTCCTTTTCACCTGTTGGCTGACTGGAGTCCTGCTTGGGTTTCTTCTCTGCTTTCAGGAAGGCCCAGTTAGGATGTCCTAATGGTCCTAATAGGATGTTGTCCCTGTAATGCACGAACGGCGCAGTGCGGCAATGTGCGCCACGTAACACTAAAACGCGCGCACGGGACAGAGGAGGTGAAATGCTGCTTCTTCTCCAGAATTATGAAGAGGAGGGTAAAACCCATCCAAGGTTATCACTCTCGATCTGAATGAGCTTGTGATGCTTTTCAGAGCAGGGTTAAAACGTAGTACAGCTGAACTGCCTTCAGCTTGTATTCTGAGACATGATGGAGCAACAGAGAAAGCAGATAATCAATCACTTGCTTTGCCGAGGTCAGAGCTAACAGCAGGGCTGTTTTAAATGACAGAAATTTAAGTGAAACCTGATCTAAAGGCTCAAAAGGAACTTTGATCAGAGCGTGCAAGACCATCATTAGGTCCCACCGTGGAGCTAGTGGACGTGACACAGGTCTGTGTCTCTGTACACCTTTTAGAAAAAACGCTTCATCAGCAGGTGGTTAAGAACTGTTCTGTCACTGAGACACCTCATGACAGGAAGAAATAGCTGCAGGATAAATTTCAATTGTGCTGAACGCTAAATTTCTGTCGCTGCCCAGCTGCAGCCTCGTTCCAGTGTGACATCACAGCTGGACAGTGAGGCCAGATGGGGTCAAGGCGACGAGCCGGGGCGGAGCCAACCTTGCTGCCAGATCATCCGATCAGGGCGGAGGGAGACGAGGGACGGAAAGTCCCTTGTGTTAACATCCTCCTGGATTATGCCGGGCAGCTCTGAGAGGAGGGCGCCGACGGCTGGGAGCGTGTGGTCGCCAACGTGGGAAGATCCGAGGTGGCTGAGCATCTGCTCAGCCTCTCGTCTTCTGTCACTACGCTTTCCAGAAGGAAGGGGGCAGCTCCGCATCGCCTTTCTCGGAGGAATCATTCGATTCACTGCGTGACTCTGCGTCAAAGAAGGCGGTGGCGTCGTCCCGTGCATAGTGTCCCGCCACAGAAAAAAACACTAAGTGGAGCTGATGCCAACAACGCCTTTTTCGAGGGAATCATCCGATTCACCGCAAGAAAAAAACATGTTAGAAAAGGCGGTGGCATCGTCCAGCTAGTAGCGGCCCTTCACGGAAAAACATTCAGCGGGGCTGCTGCCAACATCGCCTTTTTCGAGGAAATCATTCGATTACCGCGAGAAAAAAACGTTCAAAAAGGCGATGGCGTTGTCCATTGAGTAGCGGCCCACCACAGAAAAGCACTCCTCGGTGCTTACCTTGAACATTGCTGCTCGTCTCTGCTTCTCCTCGGGGAGGAAGAGCTCACCGGGACAGCAGGAGGTTGGCGTGGTGGAGATCCAGGTATCCTTAGCAAAGGTTGTGTCGGTCAAAGCTGGACAACTTTTCCTTCTTCGTTCTTCTGCCAGTGCTAGCTAGATGGCTGAAGAAAAAATGGGAGCAGATTACCCGGTTTCACCATAATTTATACGGACCGGGGGTGAGGTCCACACAGTAGGTGGGCGTGGACTAAAGTTTTCAGTGCTGCGTTGCGCGCGAAGGGATAAACCCACTAGCGATAGCCTTAAAGGGCGAATCCTATACAAAATCGAACTCTGTGTCTTGCGATGCTATTCTGTTCCCATTTTTTGTGTCACTATTCAAAATCGATTATTCGATTCAGAAACAATTTTCGATTCAGAAAAGATTTTTCTATTGAAATTGTCATTTTTTTTTTTTTTATAAATTATGTAATTGACAAGATGAAAAGTTTATACAACAATGTAAACAAATAGAACATTTATTTTAAACAATAATTTTAGGTTCCTTACTGTATCAATTTTTTTAAACTTATTTTTATATTTATACCAAATATAGGAGTGCATAAAATTCTGTAACTTAAATTACCAGTATTGCGTTAGCTTAGCTGCCTGTTTATTTCTCAAGTAAAAAAAAAAAAAATCTAGGAACAAATAATTCATCCATCTATCCATCCATCATTCATTGTCTTTACTCACTTCTTCCTTTTTGGGTCAAGGGTGTCACTGGTGCCCATATCTGTCATCACTGTGTGAGAGGTGGGGGTCACCCTGAACAGGTCTCAAGTCCATCACAGACAAATAATTCAAAATATATAAATATAAAAGTAAACAGAAACTTCAGCCTACCATAGTGCATTAACCTTTAGCTCAAAATAAAATACAGACTTCAGTTTTTTTTAACCATATTGCACTAACATTTGTTATATTTTCAAAACATCCTATAATGAAATATACAGACTTCACAGTCTTAACCATATTGATTCATATTTGGTAAATCTTTAACATAATTTCAAAACTTGTGCATATCTGCACAAAATCTCTTCTGAACTGTAATTTTAAAACCATAAATTGTATCATTTAGAACTGGCTCCAGTCGATGTGTCTCATCTGTCCTCTTCAACCTGTTAAAAAGACAAGTTACATTAAGTTTGTTGTTTAAGTTGTCTAAGTTTTAGTATAATATGAGAAAAAACAGTTACGTTTGAGCTGCAGCTGCATCAGAGCTTCTTCCATTTGTTGTTTCATGGTGAAGTTGTGGTGCTGCTTTATTGTTAAAAAAAGTTACATGAAGGAATAACATATGTTAGGTCCAGCGTATTAAAAATAAACCTAAACCCCTCACCTTCCACTGAGCTGTCTGCTCGTAAATCCTTTGTGATATAGCAGGAGATGTAGAGGTTGTACCTTATTCCCTGCTTGGGAAATTAGGTGGAAGTTTGTTGCAGAGTTCACTGCTCTGCTGTGTTCGCCGTTCATCTTCTGCACATTTTGTTGTATTTCCAAAATACTGTACCACAATTTATTTTATATTTCTTGCAGACATCCTTGCTCTTGTTAAGCTTGTAGGACATTGTAGGGTCTGAAATGATTTTTAAAGATGTAGGAGCAGGTTGAATCATGCTGTCCTTCCGCTGCACGCTAGCCGGCTCCATTCAGTTAAAGGGAACTGGCTAATTAGCTTGCTGTACGGTGGCCTATACGGCCAAATCCTGTCGGTCGAGCGGAAACGTAATGCGATATGCAGTACACTTGGGTGTAGGAGCGGAAAAAAAAAGTTAAACGTATTTTAAAATCAATTTATGGGCCTTTAGAATTGATTCAGAATCTCCAGAACTAAGAATCTAGAGTCTTTAAAAAAATCTTTTTTTTTCTGCACCCCTAAATTCAAAAAATGTTTTATACAAAAACAACTGGATTTTATTTGTAACAGAAGACGTTTCGCTCCTCATTCGAGGAGCTTTCTTAATTCAATGAGCAGTGAGTGAGGGGTTCAGGTTATAAGGCTGAGTGAGATAAGACACACACACATATGTAGATTTGACAATTCACACCTAAACACCTTAACAGTAGGGGTTTCTTAAGGTCTTTGTTACTCTAATTCACAGATGAGACCCCTCTGTTCCCATCAGGTGTGAAAACCGGCTGGGAATCTGTCTTAAAGTTGCATTATATGTTTTTGAAAGTGGAAATCTGAGGTCTCCTCCTCTGTTAAGAGATGGCTTTTCCCTTTTTACATAAATTGCT